TGCGTAAGGACTGAAGACCTGAGCCAGTGCAGGCTCTGGGCCGGCCCCCACGGGACGCTCACACCCCACCACGCACCGCCCAGCCCTTCTGAAATGCTGCTTGCCCTCCGGTCTATCCCACTGCGTTAGCGAGGCCTTCATCATCTGCACCACCTCAAAACCAGTTTTCTTTTTTTCCCTTAATTTGCTAGAGGCTGCGTGTGCTCCCTGGAGAGACCAAGGGGAGTAAGAAAGCACTCCCTGGGGATGGCCACACCACCGTCCCGTCTGTCTCCTCCATTCTCACTTGGGAGGGGGGCATGCACACACGTGCCCAGTGTGATCTTTCAAACCACCAAGCCTGGGACCTGAACCGCGCGGTCACGTGGGATCCAGTCGCATTAACACCATGCCACCAGCTGCCCCCCTAACTAGTTTCTCGCGAGCAAAGCCTTCCGTGATCTTGCCAGGCCAGCCACAGAGAAGCTCCCTGAGGGAGGCTGAGGGGCTAAGAGACTTGCCCACAGCCACACCAGAGACAGCACAATGGCCTCGCCGCAGTGACAATGGCGCACCTCTCAGTGAGAACCCGGTGACACTGCCTGAGTGTCAAAGTCTAATGAACACGGACTTCCGCACAGTGGAGATCACCCGCTGTAACACAGAGATGCACGTCTTCATAGCTGGGTGCCGTGGGCCCTGAACCAGGCACGCTCTCGGTGTCCTCCTCAGACAACTCAAAGGCAGAGCAAAGCCAGGCCTTCGGTGTGTTTGTGTGTTGGGGGGTGGCCTCGTCTTTCCTGCTGCCCCAGCCTCAGCCCCTGTTCCAATGGGTGGAAGACCAGGAGGAGGGTGGCACCCCAAAGGCCCACACCCCAGCTCTAGGAGGGGCTCCACCCCTTCCCTGGCTCTGGGATGGGCCTCCAGGGGAGAGGCATGGCTCCTCTCACTCTCCTGCGGGGTAGCAGGGCCCCAGGCTGGCCAGCTCTCTCCACTCCTGCAACTCTGGGAAGCAGAAGAGAGCGGATGGGGCAGGAGGATGAGCTCTGGGGCTGTGAAGAGCAGCTGCCCCGCTCAGCCTGCCTGGACCCAGCCCTGACGGGGGCAGCCTGGACTGGGGACGCCCTGAGCACCCTCCCTGGGGAGAAAGAACAGAAGAGAACCCACAGCTCTCTGAACCCCTGCCTGGGCCCAAGGCTTGGGTAGAACAGAACAGGCCGCAGGAGGGGACTCGGTGTGGATGCAGCCCCTGAAGGTGACAGTCAGGGTCCCTGAGAGTGATGGCCTCCCCTGGCCAGGCACTGAGCAGAACTGGCTTGTGACAGCAGGAAATCCTGGCTTTGGTGGAAATGGGAGCCCCTGCATCTTGAGGCAGGCCCCTCCTCCCCTGGTGGCAGGACCAGTGGCCAGCGAGCACAAGGTGACCTGGGAGAGCACGGAGCACCGGCTCCAAAGCAGGTTTGCACGTTCAGTCCCAGCTACACCATTTACCAGTGGGCAAGCAATTCGACCCCTCAGTGCCTCAGTTTCCTTATCTGTAAACCAGGAACAATGGGCAGACCTCCTTCACAGGGTGGGGAGCGTGGGAGGCGGCTGCAGAGCCGGCCTCGATGCCTGCCATGGAGATGCCATGGAGGCTGTGACCCGAGTGCAGGCACGGTGCCGGAGCCCTCTGCGTCTGCACACCCATGTGCATGTGCTCAGCTGCTCGGTCTCCCCCAGACAAAGCCCTCCTGGGGCCAAGATCAACACACGGGGGTTGCTGAGGGACTCGCCACTCAGGCTGGGACTTGTTTCCGGGAACAAGTCCCCACAGGTAGGCCTGGGGGCCTCTGCAAGGCTCGGCACATCTCGGTCTGGTGGAGATGAGAGGGTACAGGTCCCAGAATGCCCAGCCACACTCGGAGGATCTGCAGCAAGAGCTGGGAGGACCCCAGTTGTGAGCCCCACAGGCCTGGGTTCCAGACTCGGCACCAACCTCAGACCTGGGACTCTCTCCCTCTATAGCCTCTGTCTCCACCTCTGCACACGGGAGGATGGTGCATATTACAGGAGGAAAGTGCAGTCCAGGCTGAGTGGGGCCCGTTGGGGGTACCTGCTGCAGGCCATGGGAGACCAAGGTCCTCTGCCCTCCTACCCAATGTGCTTCTAAAGCCGTCTGTGGAGAAGTCTGGGAGATGGGGCTCCTGGTCAACTAGGAAAGGTCACCATAACTCAATGGAAAGGACACAGGAAGCAGCTGATGGCTTCGTTGTCATTGGAAGGCAGAAGGCTGGGTTTGGAATAATCCTAGAGGGCTTCTCACAGGAGGTGGCGACAACTTGGGCTCTGAAGGATCAGTAGGAGTTCCCAGACCGTGAGACCTGACAGGCCACTGGCCAGCTCTTTCTGGTCTCGGGAAGGCCCCTCACATGGAGGTGGGCAAGAGCAAGAAAACAAGGGAGGTGGGAAGCAGGGCCCTGGGACTGGACAGCGTGTGCCCAGGGAGCTCCCCAATCTCACTGTCGACATGCTACTGCCTGGTCAGACAGGACATGCTCACACAGACAAGTTCTGCCCACTCGTCCCACCTCTCAAAGGGCTGCACTAGACAGCTGGGAGAGGGAAGCGAATCCCCCCACAAAATGCCCGCAGTGCCCGGAATGCTGCGAACCCCCACCAAAGGTACCGTGATGACAGTGCAGGCATGGTGTGGGGGGCGGGCTGTAGGGGCAGTGGGAACAGAGGAGCGGGGGCAGGGAGGACCCACAGGCAGAGCCCGAGGTGCAGAGAGACCGCTGGGGGCAGGACAGGGCAGCCGCTGGACAAACAGCTTTCCTGTTAAGGGTGAGGCCCAGAGAAAGGCCACCCAAAGCTTCAGTCCAGGCTTGTCCCTCCAGGTGGTGTGCTCTCGGGCAGTGCCTTCGCTTCCTGAGCCTCAGTCTCCTCATCTACAAATCGGGGGACTAGGGCCCGACCGTGGTGTGGTGACAGCATGCAATGCCCTGAAGGTAATCCCACATGGGAAGGTTCTCAGTTCAAGTCCCGAGGCCTCCCTGAGTATGCCAGACACACACCCATCTACGATCCAGGCTCCCTGAGGCTAGGGGCAGATCAGGGCATCAAGACCTTGTTGGTGTCCTCTCTCTCTCTGTATTGTTCTCGCTCATAGAATAAATATATATACTTTTTTAAAAAGAATTATTTTATTTGAACTTCTTAAATTAATTCTTTATTTATTTACTTATTATTTTAATTTAACCAGAGAGGGACAGTGTGAGAGAGGAAGGTGGGGAGTAAGAAAGCAAGCCACCAGGTACGGGACTCAAACCATGGTTGGTCATGTGGGAGTCCAGCACCATTAACCACCATGCTACCTGCTGGCCCCAGATATATAAACTTTTTAAAATAGGGGTGGGGTCAGCAGGTGGCATGGTGGTTAAGGTGCTAGACTGCCACATGGCTGACCATGGTTTGAGTCCTGGGCCCGCAGCTTAAAACTCACACTGGGACAGGTGTGTGCATGCCTAAAATCCCGAGAGGACAATGGAGGAGAGGAGATGGCAGTGTGGCCATCCCCCCACTGCCCCGGGATGATTTCTCACTTTCCAGCTCTCTGTCTCTCTCTGGCACGTGCATGCGCCCTATGGCAAAAACCTGAAAAAAAAAGGGAAGCGATGGTAAAGATCTGAAGAGATTGCTATCAGATACAAAACAGCCTCTCCAGATCTTAAAGCGGACCCACCACACACCATGGCATTTCTCAGGGACAGCGCAGGGCGGGCTGACCTCGCGGGCACCACCCCGCACACTGCGGGTCATTAGCAGCATCTGCCGACGTGACTTCACTCACTAGTACCAGCGGCACCCCCGCCTCTAGCTGTGACAACCAAGTGTTCCCTGGACTTAGAGGTCAGCAAACAGTACCTCACAATGACAGACGTGTCTTTTTTTTTTTTTAATTTAAAGAGAGGTTTTTGCTATAGGGCATGTGCACTCGCCAGAAAGAGAGACAGAGAGACAGAAAGCGAGAAATCAGCCCCAGGGGGGATGGCCACGCTGCAATCCCTTCTACTCCATTCCCCTCTCAGGATCATGGGCATGGAAGCACACACACCCAGCGTGAGTTTAAGCTACTGGGTCCGGGACTTGAACCGCGCTGACTACATGGGAGTTCAGCGACATAGCCATTACACTAACTGCTGGTCCTGACAGATGTGTCTTAAACACTGGCGGTCTCTCTTGCAGGACTCATCTGGCCCTAGTTCCCCCAATCCCAGATGTATCTGCCTTAGTGCACATGTGCCTGCCAGAGAGAGAGAGAGAGAGAATGAAAGGGAGAGAAAGAAATCACCCCCCAGGGGATGGCTTTGTCCCAGTCCCTTCTCCCTTGTTCTTCTCTCAGGATCTTGCGTACGCATGCACACGCACCTGATGTGTTTCAAGTTCGAGTCTGGGACTCAAACTGTGGTTGGCCACATGGAAATCCAGCAACATAACCACTATGCCATCTGCTGGCTCCCTAGCCCCAGTTTTTTTTAAAATCAGTAAATACAACACAATGATCCTTCACTCCTTGTGGGAATGATCTCAGGAAAACAGGAGATGTAGGAGTGAAGGCCTGAGTAGGCCCCAATGGGCCACACACAGGCTGGACCCTGTGGGCCTTCCCCTGTCCGTGCCCCCTCTGCTGGAAGCTGACTCAGGAGGGAGGGTCGGGCTGTTTGCAGGTGCAGGACAGCAGGGCTGGGTCTGCCATCCGAGGAGACTCAGAGGACCCACAGCGGGCACGCAGTGGGTGCATAATGACGTACACGCCAGTACCAAAGCTCACGGCGCAGAGCAAGCCCGGACGCCCAGCTGGGGGCAAGGCCTCCACACCCCAGCCACCCAGCCACCCTCCTTAGGCCGGACTGACCATTTCTCATCTGCGGAAGTGCGATGTGCCCTTTGCACTCCTGTTTACCAGACGTTTCTCCCAATTCGGTGTCTAGGGAGGAAGAGGGAGCCCCCCACCGCCCTGGTCTGGTTGGGATACTCACGTTCCTGAAGGAGGGGAGCCCTGCGGTGCCCAGCCACCGCCGCAGGGCCTGCGGGAAGGCTCCGTGGTCCCTCTCGGCTTGAAGCACGTGGGCTTCCAGGAAGGTGACGTGGCGCCCCACCATCCTGACGAAGGCCTGGAGGGGAGATCAGAGAGCCCACGATGCCAAGTCTGCTGCAGCTGGAGCGTGTTCCTGGCTGTGCGGCCACCAGGCTCTTACAACCACCGACCTCCCTCAAGCACGGCCCTAGTCTCCCCACAAGGCCTGGCAGGGCCTGCTGAGCTGGAGGAGAGCCCTCGCCGGCCATCAGTAACAGAGGCAGCTCCCGTGGCGATCTAGCCCAGCCCCTACTGTGTCCCCACCCTTTTCCCCATAGTGACCTTATTTTTAGCCTCTATCTTATAGAGGAGGGAAACTGAAGCTCAGAGAGGTTGAGTCGCCTGCCTGAAGTCACACAGCCAAGAAGTGGCAAAGATCTCTGGGTCCATCCATCGGGTTCCAAGGCCTTCTTTATTGAACATGGATTTTTTTTTTTTTAGGAACTACCTACATGTTGACTTTAATAGTCCATGTGTACTGGAACTCAGAAGCCACCAGGGCCAGGCAGGGAACAAGCAGGTAACGAGGGCTGAGGGAAGTCCAGGCCCTCAGGTGGCCACTCAACAAGGACCTTAAGTGTAAAGCTTCCAATTTCAGAAAGAATTCTGGAGGGCCAGCTGGCAGCATGGTGGTGAAGGCAGCCAGACCTCACATGGCCAGCTGTGTGGTTCTAGTCCTGGACCCAGCAACTTGAAAAACATACTAGAAGCAAGTTTGTGCATGACCGAAATCCTGGAAGAAGAGTGGAGGGGAGGGATGGCAGCATGGCCACCCTCCCCAGGGGTGCTATCTCTCTCTCTCTCTCTCTCTCTCTCTCTGTTTCTCTCTCTCCAGCGAGTGCATGTGCCCTATAACAAACTGAAAAAATGAATAAAACAAAGCCACAGCAACAACTCTGGAGTCAGATAGTCTGGATTAGAATCCTGATTCCAGCACTTACCAGATGTGTACCTTTGGCCAAGTTACTTAATTTCTTTTTTTTTTTAAAGAAGAATTTTTTAAAATCTTTATTTATTTAATTTAAATTAACCTGAGAGGGATAGAGTGAGAGAGAGAGAGGGAAAGTGAGAAAGCAAGCTGCCAGGTCCAGGACATGAATATGGTCGGCCATGTGGGAGTCCAGTGCCCTTAACCCCCACGTCACCTGCCCCTTCAAGTTACTTCATTTCTATTGGCCTCAATTTTCTTCTCTGCAAAACGGAGGTAATGACAATACCAACGCTGATAAACAAGGTAAGTGCCCAGCACCTACCAAGAGCTCATTAAATGTCAGACACTACGCTATCATTCTCTTTATTTTGCCAGAGGCTTGTGTGTTCACCAGAAAGACAGAGAAGGAGAGTGGGAGAAAACACCTCTAGTGGGTTGTGTTCCACGCCGCAATCCCTTCTCCTGCATTAATCCATCCTGTGGGATCTGGGGCACACGCACATACTTTTTAAGACGCCAGGGCTGGGATTCAAACTGCGACCTACATGATCAGCCATCTGGAATACAGCTCCCTTAACCACCAAACCACATGGCTGGCCCAGTGCTCTCATTTTAAAAGGGAATAATGGGTCGTTCAGATTTTATTTAGAAGTGTCCAGTTTTTATCAACATTAGCAATAAGGTCACAATTTAAAAAACACTGTGAAAAAGAAAAAAAAACTAATTCTTGGGACCAGCCGATGGCATAATGGTTACGTTACTGGACTCTCACATAGTTGACCTAGGTTCAAGTCCCAGACCTGGTGACTTAAAACTCACACCGGGCACATGTGCATGCAGGCTCCAAATTCCAAGAAGAGAATGAAGGAGAAGGGACTGCGGCATGGCCATCCCCCCCGGGGGGTGATTTCTCACTCTCTGTCTGTCTCTCTGGCAAACGCATGTGCCCTATAGCAAAAATCTTTCTCTTAAAAAGAAATCATGCAAGTCCAGTGAAATTGATCAACTCTGGTATGTGTCTCTTCACACCCTTCTCTGTGTTCAGCACGTGTGTGTGCACGTTAGTGTGTTTGTGTAGGGGTGTACAGCTAGGGCCGCCAAAGGTCATGACCGTAGTGCCCTCTTAGACTAGACACCACCTCTGTGGGCTTCCCTTGTTCCAGTAGTAACATGAAAAGATCTGCCTGTCCCAGGAGCGGAGATGAGGTTGTCAGTGCTGGGCCTCCCAAGGGGGCCTCTTTCGCTGGATTAAAAGATGGTCCTCCGGGGCCTGCAAGGCTTCCCGCCACCCAGCGCCCCCACTCCTCCACTCCCTCTACCTCCCCAGCCTCCCTCTCCGCAGGGCCTTTGCCTCTTCCCTCCATTCCTGATGAGGTGGTTCTGCCTGCACTAATGCAGCCTTGAATTAACTGTCCCCTTTTTGGAGAGGCCTTCCCTGACCACCTGACCTAACACGGCCCCAAACCACTGTGGAGTCACCCAGGCTCCTTGCCTTCACAGCTCTCACTGCTCTCTGAAATTCTTGTCTGTTCATGACTCACCCTCCTCCCTCTAGAATGTAAGATTGAGTCAGCATCGTTCGCAGCCCAGGACCAGAGCCTGGTCAGGTAGAAGGGACCCATCTGGATGATGGTGCATGAGTGCACATGTCAGTAACGGCACGGTGAGCAAACGAATGAGCGCGAATCGCCGAGTGAATGGATGAGAGGCTGAGCGAGAGGACGAGTGACGGAGTGAATGCCTAAGTGAGAGAATGAGTGGGCGAGTGAGTGAGTGGGGGAATGATTGAGCACGAGTAAATAAATGAGTGAAGGAGTGAGTGAGTGAGTGAACACATAAATGACTGAGTGAGTGAGTGAAGCAGTCAGCACATGAGTAAATAAGTGAGTGAAGGAGTGAGTGCACGAGTGAGTGAATGAGTGTGTGAGTGAACGAGTGAGTGAGTACATGCCTACCAAAAAGACATCCCATAAACCCAAGATGGCGGCACGTGCTGTGTAACCGCTGCCTGGAGTTCTGGCAGCAGGGCTGAGAGGCAGAAGGAGGAGTGTAGGAGTGTGTGTGCGTGTGTGTGAAGGAGGAGTGTGTGTGTGTGCGCGCGCACGTACACGTGTAGGCGGGGGTGGGCTCGGAGGCCCCACTGGGCGGCACATCTGGGTGAAAATGCAGGCCTGAACTCCCTCCCTCCAGCCGACTCCAATTTTCCGCTCCCTGCGCTGATGCCAATCTGGTGAGGAGTGTGAGGCGGCCCGCCGAGGAATGCACGCTGCGATGCCTGAACTGGCTCCAACGTGCCTGCCAGCCTGGGCAGCCTGGCCAAGCCACAGCCAGAGAGCGGGAGAAGCCAGCCAGGGCCCCCGGCCTGCAGGCCTCGACGTACACGGCCATCCTCCGACAGGGGCTGGGAGGGGACAGGGGGCACAAAGGAGGTGGCCGCTGACCTCAGGCACTCTGATGGCCAGGGCTGGGGAGAGTGGCTGAGTTCTCCAACATTTTCTCCTCTGTGAAAATGAACAATTTTTATAATCAGCTCAGGGGGCGGGGGGGAGAAGAGAAGAGAGGGAGGGAAGCCTCACTGTTTAAAAGTACATCTGTGAGCACTGCGGAGCATGAACGCTTCCGCCAAGGCCCCCCAACTTCTGCACAGGGGCCCCATCCAGAGGGGTGCCAACACTCAGCACAGAGGGTACAGCCTTTGCACCCCGCTCTGCCACGCCTCACCTGTACGACCTTGGCAAATCCCTTTTCCTCTGTGCCTCAGCTGCTTTTTCTCTACAATGGGGCTGCTAACGTGAGCCTCCCCCTGGGTTGCTCTGCGTGTGCAGCATGTGCTCACCTGGTTCACGGCAGCTTTAGTAATAAACTGGCAGAGGGCCACACGCCAGCCTGAGAGGCCACCTCATGGCTTCCAGGCCCCGTCTGGAGGGTCACAATAACAGAGAGGAATGCGGTCTGGCGCTCTGTGGACACCAGGGATCCTTTAGGTAACCCAGCGCCCCCGGGCAGCACAGAGCCTGCCCCTCCTGGGCGAATGGATGATGGCTGCAGCCCTAAGGACGGTCTGCTTAGGCAGAGCACCTGCAGGGTACCAGTGACCAGCCTGCGAGTGCTGGGCAGGGGCATATTCCCTGTTTAGAGAAGGAAACTGACGCTAAGAGAGTGAGTGAGTTAACAAAGGGGCAGGAGTGAGCCTCCTAACATGCCACCTGCCGGGTACAATGTTGGGTAGGTTCTTTCTCTTCAGATCATATTTGATTGTTTTGTCACCAAGTTTGGGCTACTAGGAAATACATAATCTTCCATTTGTCTCAAAATCTTCAACCCTCTTGGACTAACTTGGGTTCTCCATGTTCTCTCTTTTTTTTTTTCAAGAGATTTTTTGCTATGTCGCTGGACTCCCAAGTAGCCGTCTATGGTTCGAGTCCCAGACCTGGTGGCTTAAACTCACGCTGGGCATTTGTGCGTGCAAGCATCCCCCCTGGGGGGTGATTTCTCACTTTCTGTCTCTCTGTCTCTCTCTGTCTGGCGAGTGCACGCACCCTATAGCGAAAACCTCTCAAAAAAAAAAAAAAAAAAAAAAAAAGGAAACCAGTTTGGAAGTCCCTAAAATCACTTAACATAGAGCACAGCAATTTCACTCCTAGTATTTGTTTGTTTTAGCTTTTTTTTTTTTTAATTTGCTATAGGGTATATGCGCTTGCAATATACCCTATAGCAAATAGGTGGGGGCAAGTGAGAAAGCATCCCAAGGGGAGAACAGCCATGTTGCAATCCCTTCTCTATTCTCCATTTAGCATTTTGGGCATGCATGCACATATGCCCAGCATGATTTTTAAGGCACCCAGTCCAGGACTTGAACCATGAAGCTGACCCTGTGGGATCCCACTGCCTTAATCTCCAGCCACCTGCTGGCCCCCATTCCTAGGTTTTTATCCAAAAGAAATGAAAACAAAAGTGCCTATGGATGCTTGTGACAACATTATTCATGACAGCCTGAAAGGAACGACCACATGTCCATCAGCAGATGAGCAGACAATGAAACACGGCCGATCCATGCATGATATTGAAAAACCTTTTCCCACAGGGTGTGTATGCTTGCCTGAGAGAGACAGGGAGAGAGGGAGGAGAGGGAGAAAGCACCTCCCAATGGGCATGGTCACACAATTCCTTCTCATTTCTCCCCCCTGTTGCATGCACATCTAGCGTGTTTTTTAAGCTTCTGGATCCAGGACTCAAACAGCACAGTGGGCCAGGTGAAATCCAGTGCCCTTAGCCACCACACCCAAGCTGGCCCCGTATGTGGGATACATTCAGCTGTGCAGGGAATGAAGTTCGACACACGCTACAGCATTGACAACATTGTGCTGAGTGAAAGGGTCCGGGCGCACAAGTCTCGGGGTGGGAGGCTCCCCCAGAACAGACTGTCCAGACAGGAAACTCAGCCACAAAGAGTGATGAGCGCTGGCCAGGGGCTGGGGTGGACAGCCGTTGCTATGGTATGGGGAAAGCGTTCTGAAGGGCAGCCCATGACATGGCACTTAAGGCTCTGGATCCCACATGGCTGACTTCGCGGTTTGAGTCCCAGTCTCAGTGGTTTGAAAAAGCACACTTGATGCATGTGCATGAATGCCCCCCAAAAAATCCCAAAAGGAGAATGGAGGAGAAGGGACTGTGGTGTAACCATCCCCCAGGGAATGACTTCTCACTTTCCTTCTCTCTCTCTCTCTCTCTCTCTCTCTGGTGGCGCACACGCACATACCCTCTAGCACAAATCTGAAAAGAGAATATTCTGGGATGAAGTAGTGGTGATGGTTGTACCACCTTGAAATATGTGCAAAACCTCTAAACAGTACAACTTAATCATCAATTCTGGGAGCTGGTGGTGGTGCAACGGTAAAATGCAACACTCTAGAAAGCTGATCCCACATGGGAAGGTTCCAGGTTTGCATGCAGAGACCTCCCTGAGTCCCAGGCATGTGCCTACCCATGATCAGAGCTGGTGGGGTTGAGGGTAGACTGCAGCGTCAAGTCCCCGTGGGGGTCTGTTTCTCTCCCACCCGCATGCATGAAGAGAAATAAAAACTAAAGACAGAAATTTGGACTTTCTCCAGGAGAAAAATTATTGTACCTGTAATCATGGAAGGAAAAAAAATCTTTGAGAGGTTTTTGCTATAGGCGTGTTTAGACCACACCTCTCCATTGTAATCGGACAGAGCTGTGAAGCTGTGATCCCAGCCCCCGCCCCCACTCTCCACCCCACCCCCTCCGCTGCTCCAGCACATCCGATACCCTGAGGGCTTTGAGGGACCTGGAAGTCAGGCCTCAAACCACACCGGGTTCATGAAACAGCAATCCTGGGGGTTGGAGTTGGGCACCAGGCGTTTTTGTTGTTGTTTGTTTTTTGAGAGTTTTTTGCTATAGGGCACATGTGCTTCTCAGAGAGACAGAGAGACAGAAAGCGAGAAATCACCCCCCAGGTGTGCTGGCCACGCCACAATCCCTTCTCCTCTCAGGATCTGGGGCACACATGCACATGTGCCTGGCGTGAGTTTAAGCCACCAGGTCCGGGACTCAAACCGCAGTTGACTACATGGAAGTCCAGTGACATAGCCATTACACCAACTGCTGGTCCCATGGAAGAAATTGTAAAAAATAAAATCTAAAGAAAATCAATTTGGACTTAAGGGGCAAGAGGCAGAGGAGCTAATCTTTGTGGTGGTCCTAGAGTCCTCAGGTCAGGGCCTGACCCCCGACTTGGCCCTCGCCTGCTGGCCCCCTCCCACGCTCCCGTCTCACCCCGACCTCGTGCCTCACATCGGCCCACAAGTAACTTCCCTGGCAGCCTCGGGGCCTTGGCATAGTTGCCCCTGCTCCAAGTCTCAGGCCTTGAAGTCCAGGCTGCACCTCCAGGAAGCCCTCTCTGTTTAGCTCTGTGAGGTGCCCTTAGGGGCTCACACAGCCTCTTCTCACCTGCCTATCCCTTGCCCAGGGCCCCTCACAGGCTCTCTGCTGTGTTCCCAGCACTCTCTCAGAGGAGCCCATCATTCAACGGATGTTTGCTGAATAAGGATCTGGGTTCGAGACACCCACTGGGAAGCTGAGGCTCTGCATTTGCTGGGGGTGTAGGAAGAAGTGGCTTCCCAACCAGGGCACACTGGGGACATTGGAAGGCATGACCGGTTGTCATACTGGGGAGCAGAGTGGGAGGGGTGCTACTGCTACCTTGTGGGGTGGGGCTGTGATGCTGCAAAGCCTCCCACCACACACAGGACGGCCATGACAGGACTGTCTAGCCCACGTGCGCTAAAGCCAAGAAGCCCTTGTGTGCTGCTTGCACGCGAGCCACTAGGCCATCCCATCTTCTCCTCGGGATGGAGGCCCAAGTCCTGACCTAATGGCAAGGCCTGGCCACCGGCACCTGCTGTCAGCTTCTCCAGCTCCTTTCTCCAAAGCGGTGAGAGGCCCCTTTGCCCTGCAGTCTGGCCATCCCGGGATTCTTTCAGTGTCCAGTCTCCTTCCTACCTCACTCGGCACCAAGATCCTTCTACCTGGGAGCCTTGGCCTGAGCTGTGCCACCCCTGTCCAGCCCCCACGCCCTCCAGCTCACCTCAGCCCATGCAGGCTCTCCACTCGGGCCCAGCAGCTGCACACCCCGTCCCTCCCTGCGCTGCCCTGTCAGCCTGGGTGACCAGCGGCAGGATGGTCTGCAGAGACGCTCATGTCCCAGTCCGCGGAACGTGGGGACGTGCTACGTGACCACAGACATGATTATGAGAGGGCCTGGGGAAGGGCGTCACACTGGACTAGGCCATGCAATCAAGGGGCCCTACAGCAGGGAGGCAGGCGGGCGAGTAGGAGAGAGGCTGGCCTCAGGCCTCATGCCGTGGACTCCAGGGACAAGGAAGGGCCACAGCTGGGAAACGCAGGCGGCTGCTGGGAGCTGGGAAAGGCCGGGGAACAGATGCCCCTGGAGCCTGCGTAAGGAGCCCTCCGCTGAGGCTGTGTGCGAGCCCCCCAGGTACACCGTGGGCTGCCTCTGCGCAGTAATGCGGTAAACGCGTGTTGTTCTAAGCCGCCGAATTGGTGGCATCTGTCCCAGAGACGACGGGAAACTAGTTCGGTAGCGCTTTGTCTGGCGTCTCTGCGGGCAGGGGCCTGCCTCTCTGTGACGGCCTGTTCTGGCCTGTAGTAGGCCCTGCATGGACATCAGAAAATGACTGGGTGTGGCAGCTGGGCCGGGCGGGGAGGCAAGAATCGAGGCTGCGACTCCTCGCATTTTCTTCCCTCCTTCAAACGTGTGGAGTAAAATTCAAATGAAGCAGCTATTCCAAGGGCAAAGTTTTAATTATGCTCCTGCTTCATTCTCTGCTGACGAGAATGCTAATTCTCCGCGAAAGCGAGGCTGCTGCCGCCCTCGCCCTCTGCAGCTCTGAGGGGGCCCGTCCTCTCTGGCCAGGTGACCACTGTAGTACCCCAAGCTATGGGGCCAGCAGGTGGTGAGATGGTTAAGGTGCTGGATCCACACAACCGACTCCATGGTTCAAATCCTGGGCCCGGAGGCTTGAGTACATGCAAGCCCAAAATTCCGGCAAGGACATGAAGACGGGACTGCAGCATGGCCACCTCCCAGAGGGTAACTTCTCACTTTCTCTGTTTCTGTGTCTCTATCTCTCTGGCAAGCACATGTACCTCATGGCAAAAATTTAATAAAAACAAAACCAACAAGCTCCTCCCAGCCTTGATGTCCCTCACCGTGCAAGGAGCCGGGATACCAAGCTGAGGGCCAGACTTGATGAACTCAGGCTGGCTCCTGCAGATGCAAGTTGGAGTCCCGGCTCCAAACACCTGTCAGTGAGACCCAGAGGAGTGGCTTAGTCTGCAGAGCGTATGCTCCTCCTCTGGAGATGGGGACAGGGAAGGGTCTGTCTTCACAGGGCGGCAAGGAGGATGAGAGATCCTGTGCATCTCAGCCCCGGCAAGCAAAAGAGGTGAGAGAAGTCAGGGTGAGGCGATAGGGCACAGTGGAGACTGGGGAGAACTGGAGCAGCAGCAGCCACCAGCTCCACCTGTTCTCGCAAGAAGGCTGCCAAGAGGGTGGCCGGGGGGCTGCAACGTTCTCTCTCCACCGGGGTCACCCTCACACAGGGGCTGACCTATGTGGAAGCTCAGTGAACTGTGCAGGCTAGCTGTGTGCATAGCGTGTATTTATACCTTGACAAATAAACAGATGAAAGTATTCACAGAAATGGGGACCCAGGCAATCCAACTTCTGAATTTTCAAAAGCTTAAAATTTGTATTCTTATATAAAACATCCTGATTTTTCAATGCTAGAAACAAATTCTTTTTTCTAATTTGCCAAAGGGCACATGTACTTGATGGAGAGTGGGAGGGATAGAGAGAGAGAGAGAGAGAGAGAAAGTGGAAAAGCACCTCCATGGGGAATGGCCACACTAATCCCTCTCTTCCATCTTTCCCTCCTTTTGGGATTTTGGGCATGCGCACACATGTCCCTGACGTATGTCCCAAGTCACCAGGTTCAGGAATCAAACCATGACGTCAGCCATGTGGGAGCCAGCTGCCCTGACCACCACGCCACAGGTGGCCGGGAAACAAATCCTAATTTGTCTTTTTTAAGACACTCTGTGAGTGAGCCCTCCTTTTCCCACCGAACCCCTCCACGGGCCTGATGCCTGACCCTTCCCCCCCCCGGGCCGATCAGCACCCTGGAAGACAGGGCAAGAGTCAGGTCGAGTCCGTGGACTCAGAGGACCTCGCCCTCCTGGACACGCACCTCTAGCTGGTCCACTCTGGCATAGACGCCACGCATTTCTGTCACTTTGGCCTTAAGGACCGGGATGTTTTCCTCCAGGATCTGCGAGGTGTCGTTCCTGATCTGTGAGAACAAACATCTCATCATTCCTCCGGCCCCACCAAGCATCCCCGGCCTGCTCGGGGACAGCCAGGCCTGTGCCAACCCCTGCAACCGCCAAGAAGCCAGGCCACGTCCCACTTAACCCAGAGTCCTCGTGGGGGACCAGCCTCCTTCCCCTTGAGCCCAGATCTCCCCAGGTATTACTAACTGAACCACAAATTAACCATCTCCCCAAACACCCAGCGACACGAATCCCAAACTGAACATCCTCATTCTCTAAATCACTGAACTGGGGCGATCGGAGAGAATCCAAAACTGTCCCCTGACCCGAGGTCATGATGCTCGTCCAGTGCTCGTGACGCTGGTGTTAATAATATTAGCGAGTCGACGACAGCCACGGGTGTCCGTTCTGGCATTAGCGAAGACCACCCTGCCAAGTGCCTCCTCCACAGTCCCAGTTAATCCCAACTTCCTCTGCTCACAAGGCCCCAGACAGCCGTGGGCTTCGGCTCTCCACCATTCAGCAATCAAGCCTCCGTCTTCCTTCCAGCCTAAGGACCAGGCCTAACTTGTGTGTGCGCGTGTGCACACGCACGTGTAGGAGATCCCACTGTCGTGTGCCCGGTCCTCACTGTGCAGAGGCATTGTACAAACTGCTCTCAGGTTCTGGGGAGCAGCCAGCTTCCCTGGGGAAGTCTGCCAAGTACCGATCCCCAGATGCTGGCCCCTCCAGACGGGGCCTGAGCACTCCCGTTTCCACAGTCCCCACCCCTCCCTCATGCTCACCCCTGCACCCTTTGCGAGGTGCCTGCCCTGCCTGGCACAGCTGGCCCTGCATTTATTACCGTGATGGGAAAAGCACTGTGATATTCTCCTCTTCTTCTCCAAGGTCGAATTTCCAGAGGAGCCCATCCCTCAGCAAGGCTAAACTCGGGAGAAAACGCACCGCTGTGCGACGAACAGCGGGCTGTTAACTCCACGGCAAGGCCAGAGTGCAGTGGGGCAGACTCAGAGCTTTCCTGTCTGTTCATTTTACAGAACAAGTGCAGGGATGGAGGGGAGCCTGGGGGGACTGGTCTTAGCAACCTGTAGGAGCGAGAGAAGGTGGTAGGGAGGAGCTTCGAGGAGCAACCCCTTCCCCTAAATCCAGAGGAACTGGGAGAACAGGGTCAAATCTAAAAAATCCTCCAAAGCCAAAAAGTGTAACCAAATGAGATGCCAAGATCCCAACGTTAAGATCTGTCCTTGAGAAACCCAGATTCCCAGCTCCTGGTGAAAACTCAGTAGGCCTGACCACGCTGAGCCCAAGGTCCACATGGTGACACTTGGTGAAGGCCCTCGGTGAACTACAGTCCTCATCACTCCTAGGTGTCCACTAGTGTGAGCCCAGGGCTCCCAGAGCACTTGCCTTCTTACAGGAGAATTCAAAGAAATATGAAAACGTTTCTTTTTTGTTTTTTTCAGTGGCTGGAGGTACGGTCACACCGAGATCCCTCTCCGTTCTCCAGCCTGTGGGGATTTGTGGTATGCACACATATGTACCCGGGGTGTTTCCGCAAGCCAGGGCCACGATTCAAACCACAGTCAGCCACATGGGACCTGGCCCCCTTCATCGCTAGGCCACAGGGCTGGCCTATAAGACCTAGCTTTTCTGACCCCAACCCACTTCCCATAGTGACGTCACAGACATCCAAGTTTGCACACCCTGGGTGACACTCTGAGAAGGGCCGTGAAGAGTCAACGCTCTTTGGCCTCAGCCAGGACAAATCCCCAACCAGGCTTATTAGCCCAGGGCCCACCAGACCCAGACCCAGCCTGTCGTCCCCCTCCGCAGAGCCGTCTCCAGAGCCCAGCAGTCTGGGCCGTGGGAGCTGAGGTCACCACAGAGCAAAGACGGCTGTCCAGGATGATTCAGGGCCCCCCGGAAGGAGAGCCAAATGCACTTGACCCAAGAACACACGCCAGTGCCAAATGCAACTGCTGGGCCGAGGCCAGCGGAAATCTCCATTAACGTGCGTGGGGCAAGTCTGCTCTTGGGCAGAGGTGGGCCCGAGGCGCTGGCTTCCAAAGGGATGGGACAAGCTGCCCCAGCCCCCGAGGGCACAGAGCTGGGAGGTCTGACAAGCCCAGCCTCTGTGGATAACATCGTCCATGTCACGGTCCTCCTCGGTGCTTTGACAACAATGATAAAGACACGAGTAGTTGCTGTTTATCGGTCATTTACACAACAGGTGCTGTGCTTGGCAATGACTTTTTTTAAAGAATTGCTTTATTTAATTGTATTCATCATCATCATTGTTACTTTTTAAATTTTACCAAAGAGAAACAGAGACAGACAGACAAGGAAAGTAAGAAAGCAAGCCACCAGGTCCGGGACTCGAACCATGGTCAGCCATGTGGGAATCTAGCGTACTTAACCACCATGCCACCTGCTGGTCTCCTGCTGGTCACTTCTAATGACCCAAGTACTTGGATCTTAATTAGACAGCTGATGACTTTGTACATGTGTTTACATTCACGTAACCACCACATGGACCAAGAGATTGGACATTCCATTACCCCACGGGCCCCCTCTTGCCTCTTCCACAACTGCCCTCCCAAGTCGACACTCTCTGGCTTCCACAACCGTAGATGGGTTTTGGCTATTTCTGGACTTTGTATTAATGTACTTACATGGAATGTATTCCTGTGTTTGTGAAATCCATCCCTGTGGCTGGGTCTAGCAGCCCATTCTTTTTCATCGCTGTGTAGTATTCCAATGTAAGAATAGCACCCATGTATTACCTACTCTACGGTTGGATATTTGGGGTGCTTCCCAGTCGGGGAATCACGAACAAGAATGTTACAAACATTTACGTACGAGTCTCTGTGGGGACAGCTTTCATTTCTCTTTGTAATCACCTAGAATTAGAACTGCTGGGACGAAGGTTAAGTGTAACTTTGTAAGAAACTGCCAAACTATTTTCCAAGTGGCTTTTGCATTGCCACTAGCAGCGTTCAAGATTTTCAGTTACCTTACATCCTAACCAACATTTTGTACTGTGGTGATTTTAAAAGCTTGGCTTCATTTTCCCACTTCCAGGACGGCAAGGTACAGAGAAACACGCCCCACCCACAGCACATGGCTGGTTCCAGGCAGCCGCAGGCCGGTGGTGGCTGGAGCCAACACTGCTGTCCACCGGGCCATCGCATCTGCCAGGTGGGAATGGAACCCCGGGGCCGGATCTTTGTTTTTGTCCATGAGAAGCCAGAAGTCCAGAGTTTTCACATGAAATTCTACAAATGTCAGCAGCAAGTGTCCCTGTTAGCCTCTCAGAAGTCACCTTATTTGGAGGCAGGTTGGGGCCCACAGGTCGTCTGGGTGTGCTCAGTACTGAAATCTCATGGAAGGCTTCTTGGGGTTTCAAGTTAGGAGGACTTGCAGCCTCGGGCGCTGGGAGGCCTCGTGGGTTTCCAGGCTGGGTGGTGAGAGGCTCTCTGTGCCTGTCCAAGAGCAGCCCTCCCCACACTCTCCTCAGGCTGAAAGGGCTCCTGTCACAGAGCGCCCGTGTGGAGGACAAAGCGTGCCTGAGGTACAAGTCCATGCCACCCTCCACACCCCCTCCTCTGGTGGCCAAGCAGCGTCCACACAGAACCTAGCTGCACCACCCGGGCCTCCCTGCCCCTGCCCGGACACCTTCCCTCCATCTGGAAAACCTCTATTCCTCCAAGTCCCAAATTAATCCCCACGTGTTCCGCAAAGCCTTCCGGTTTCTCAGGCAGGACTGAACGTCCCCACTCTGGGTCCTTTTGCACCTGAACACATGGTCACGGCAGCACATCAACACTGGGGGATGGCAACTGTCCCTGGGTTGGTCTTCCCCAGTGGACTCTGGGGGGACAGAGACAGAGCTGACTCTGCAGCCTCAAGCCCAGCACAAGGCCTCGTCACAGATGTGCCCACCCTTTGGTGACAGAGGCCGTTAAACGCCCGTCTCTGCAGCCACGTCCTACCTGCCCTCTCCTCAGAACTAAAACACGGACTCTCAAGAGAAAAAATGAGCATTCTCTTGAGGACGTCCCTGTCCTATTTGCTGCTGTCTCCCAGAGGCTGGCCCAGGCGACACTCACACGTCTGTTCAATGTACAGGGACAAGGTGCTTCTGTGGGGCCTGGCACCATGCAACGTCCAACACACGACCAGGATGCCCTTGCTGTCGTTCCTGGGACTTCCTGGTCACTCACAAATGCCCCTAGGCTCCGCAGGGACACCACTCTGGCCCCAGTGTGGTGGGCAGACACAAGGCCTGGTTGCAGCATGGAGCCTGCCCTTCAGGCTCTGGGCAGGAGCTTCAAGCCTGGTCGCTGGTTTGCCTTTAGTAACTTGGGAACCTGGGCATTTCCATGATTTCTCCTAGGGGCTCCTCGGGTCTAGAGGCCTCCCTGGAGCGCTTACAGCAGAGACCTGGCTCTTCCCAGCCCAAGGCCTTGTCTCTACCCCCCTGCCCGCAGCCTGCCTGGGGACTGGAGCCAAGGAGCAGGCCAGAAGGCCACAGCTCAGAGAACACAGGAGTCAGGAAGGTGGTAGCCCAACCCTGTCTGGGCCCCGGGCCTGGCCAGAGGCTCCGGGAGGCCCTGCAGCCTGGAGCCATTTCCTGGCCGGCTCCATGTTTGCAGGGCAACTGCGCAGAGCTGAGCAAGTTAAATATAGGCCTCGCGTCCCTGTGGATGGCCGCGTCGGTGCCGAGAGTGCCACCTTGTGGCCACTCTGGGCTCCTCTGTGGAATGAAAGCCATCTGGGGGGAAAGGACGACATCAAGATGGCCGCCTCAGAAGCGCTTGGGGGTGAGAGAGACAGAGACAGAGAAAGGGGGGCCTTTCTCTTGCTGCCAGCCACCACCCCATTCCCTCTGGTTGCTAGCCCACCACCAAAATGGCTTCCCCAGAAAGCTCAGGAGGTGGGTCATCTGGCCTGGTCCTAAGTCCGCACCCTGGCACTCACCATGTCGGTCAGGCTGCAAAACTCTTCCACCCTGAGCAGCATCCCCTCGATGGTCTCTTCCATCTCCTTCGCCTGAGAGAGACACAGTGCCCTAGAGATTAGCCAGTGGTTTCCAGGGAGACAACACCCTTCCTATTTTTTTTTTTTTAAAGAAACTAAGTCTTAGGATTGTGTGTCCAGTTCTTTCTGGACTCCCTTTTTCTTTCAAACCTCCCACAGGGCCAACTAGGTGGCACGATGTTTTAGGCAGCTAGATCCCAAATGGCCAACTATATGGTTCAAGTCCCAGACCAGGCGACTGGAAAAGCATGCCAGGAGCACATCCGCACAGGCTCAAAGTCCTAAAAGGAGCCTGGAGAAGGGACTGCGGTGTGGCCGTCCCCCCTGGGGGGGGGGGGATTTCTGCACACACACACCCAGCTCTCTTCAGATCTTTGAAATAATGGCCAACTGGTAGCACCCATTGCCAGAGCCACCTGGGTCTGCTACCCTAGGCAATTTTCAAGAGATGCCATAAACAAATACCAACAGGAAAAAGCAGTTACCCCTCTCCTCCGGCACTGTACAGATGGGGACATGGGCTCAGAGGTGAGGTAACCTTCTCAAGGTCACACAGCTGACAAGCAGCGGGGCCAGGATTCTCAGATTGGTTAGAGCCTTTAGCCTTAGCGCCTGCCCTCCCCACCACACGACAGGCCCCCCGCACATCACAGAAGGGAGAGCCACCAGGGGCCGGCAGGTGGCATGGTGATTAAGGGCGCTGGACTCCCACATGGCCCACCATGGTTCAAGTCCTGAACCTGGAGGCTTGCTTTCTCACTTTCCCATTCTCTTTCTCTCTCCCACTCTGTCCCTTCCTGATCAAATTAAAATAAATAAAGTCAAATAAAATAATTTGTTAAAAAAAAAAAAAAGAGGGAGAGCCACCACAGCAGGCATCAGAGAGAAGCCCGGTCACCACTACCCCTGCAAAAATGTACAGTGCATGGTTTGACAGAGAAAGGCCTGGACTGACATGTCCGCGCTGTTCAGTTAGGGGACACCCTTACACTATGGAATTGTTTATCTGATGTTTGGATTTAGCTGAGCATCTGGTAGTCTACCAGGAAACCCCAAGAACACTGCTCACTTAGGTCCGCCATGATGGTCCACGCTCCGGAGGCCTGTGCTCTGCACCTGAGACCTCAGGGACTCCTGGTCCAACCTGATGGCCAAGTGCGGTGACACATCCTTGCCATCCCAGCCAATCGGGAGGCTGAGGCAGGGCAACCGTGATGTCAAGGCTGGCGCGGGCCCTGTCTGGAAGAGCCTCCATGGAGGAGCACACACTCTTGGTTCCAGGTGCTCTGAAGGCCAAGGCAGGAGGATGGAGACACAGCCAGACCACATCTTTAAAATAGAGAGCGCTGGAGCCAGCAGGTGCTGTGGTTGTTAGAGTGCTGGACTCCCACGTGGTTCAAGTCCCAGACCTGGCGACTTGCTTTCTCACTCCCTCTTTTTCTGTCTCTATGCCTCTTTCTGGTCAAATTGAATACTAATGAATAAATAAATAAAATTAAACGAGTAATTCTTTTAAAAAAAGGGAAAAAAAAAAGACTGCTTGGGCCAGCCCTATGGCCTGAGAGGGGAGTCTGATCCCATTAGCAACTCATGCAGTTTGGATCCTAGTGGCTTGAAAAAGACCAGATGCATGTGCATGCATGCCCCAGAACTCAACAGGATGGAGAAGAGAGGAGAAGGGATTGCAAGAGAACTTGCCCCGTGGGGGGTGTATTCTCCCTCTCTCCATCTGTCTCTGGCTAGCACGTGTCCTCCGTCAAATCCAAAAAGAGATATATTTTAGACTTATATATATGTGTAAGTATATATATATGTATTTGTGTATTACATATATGTATATCCATGTAGGTATATGTAAGTATATATATGTACTGTGTATTACATATACGTATATCCATGAATATATGTGTGTGAGTATATATGTGTAAGCATGTGTATCACATATACATGTGTGTCCATGTATATATGTGTGTGAGTGTATATGTGTATTATGTATTACATATATCCATATATGTGTGTAAGTATATATATGTATTTGTGTATTACATATATGTATATCCATGTAGGTATATGTAAGTATATATATGTACGTGTGTATTACATATACGTATATCCATGAATATATGTGTGTGAGTATATATGTGTAAGCATGTGTATCACATATACATGTGTATCCATGTATATATGTGTGTGAGTGTATATGTGTATTATGTATTACATATATCCATATATGTGTGTAAGTATATATATGTATTTGTGTATTACATATATGTATATCCATGTAGGTATATGTAAGTATATATATGTACGTGTGTATTACATATACATATATCCATGAATATATGTGTGTGAGTATATATGTGTAAGCATGTGTATTGCATATACATGTATGTCCATGTATATATGTGTGTGAGTGTATATGTGCATTACCTATATCCATATATGTGTGTAAGTATATATGTGCATGTGTGTTACACATATATGTATGTCCATGTATATATGTACATGTGTGTCTTACACATACATGTTCATGTATATATGTGTGGTTATATATACATACTGTGTATTACACGTATGTATATATGCGTGTGAGTGTATATGTGCACGTGTGTTACATAGATGTATATCCATGTATATATGTGTAAGTATCTATGTGTACATGTGTGTATTACATATATATGTATATCCATGTATATAAGGCTTACCTAGCACTGGGGGGGATTGAGGACTGGGAGGGGCTCTGAGAAAGGTGACTTGAACGTTTTATGGTCCCCGGAGGGCCCCAACTCAACACTGAAGGGCTGGGCAGCAAGGAAAAAGTGAAACGCCCGGGGCTGGGGGAGCTGCAGGGGCCTGCCCAGCTCTGCAGTCGGCCAACAGCGGCCATCAGGAACCGCAGGTCTGGGTTGCCAGATCTTTCCATTTCTCAAGAGTAGATAGAAATTCTAATTTCTTGGGAAATGTCCCAATTTTTAACTATTGGCACACATTCCTAAATAAATAAATAAATAACAAAAATCTGGAATGCTCTGGGGGCCAGAAACGCATGCTGGAAGGACCTGCCCACACACACCCTGCCTTACTACTTGGGTGAGAGTCAGTTTGAACGACCCCTCCCTCTCGCCCGACACTCCCGTGTCTATAACACTCCAGTCTGTGCTGTTGTGGGTTAACGGCCAGGAGGAGGAAAAAGTCCACACGAGCCAGTCTCTGGCTCACACAGGCCTGCTGAGGGAGGCGTGGCCAGACATTTCTGGGCAGGCTGGTCTCCACCCCCTGCACCTGAAGGCCCCCTCAACACCCACTTGTTCCCAGAGAAATGTTTACCCGGAGCCAGTGGCTGCCCGAGCTGTCGCTACCACAACCACATAAATGGCTGTGCAGAAAACAGCTTTTCGCGCGGAGCATAAATAGCTCCAAGTAGCAATTCTAAGCTCTGGAAGCTTCATCTCACAGCTGGGGCTATTTCTGGGCCTCAATGGGGGAGGCTTGACAGGGGAAGGCACCACTACCGAGGGAGATGAGGAAACTGAAAGGTGGCTGCCCGACCTGTCGCTACCACAACCACATAAATGGCTGTGCAGAAAACATCTTTCCGGCTGGAGCATAAATAGCTCCAAGTAGCAATTCTAAGCTCTGGAAGCTTCATCTCACAGCTGGGGCTATTTCTGGGCCTCAATGGGGGAGGCTTGACAGGGGAAGGCACCACTACCGAGGGAGATGAGGAAACTGAAAAAGATTTACCCACCCCCCAAAAATCAAATGGAGGTTAAAAAAAATGTTCTCATCACACTATAGGAGAGAAGGAGCCCAGAGGCCAGGCCGCTGGGGGAGGAGGGTCATTGTTCCTTCTGATTCTCAGGAAGGCAGGAGAGGTGGGAGAGTTGCAGATGGGTGATGAGGACCCCGGGAACGCAGGTGTGGACACAGAGACCCTGGTCCAGATAAGTTTAGGAAGGGGAACCCTGCAGGGGGCCACAGGAGACCGGCCCCAGCTGGGTGGGAGACAGGAGTCTGAAGCGCTTTGCTGGTAGGAAATGCATCTGAACGAAGCTGTGTGTCCAGGAAGGACAGGGCATGTTCGAGTCCCGTCTTCTCTCTGCCATCTGTGGGACGTTCACTCAACGACTTAACTTCTGCATTTCAGCTTGCTCACCTGTGACAGGAAACATCCCACCCATCTGACAGAGCTGGCAGGAGCTTAGCTGACATCCGAAATCTGGCCACTCAGTGAAGGGCTGGCATGACGTACAACAGGCCACTCTACAACCTCTTACCAGAGGATAAAACAGTGGCTGGGCCCGCAGGTGGCATGGAGGTGGGGTGGCTGCATCCCACATGGCCAACTGTACGGCTCGAGTCTCAGTGACATGAAAGGCATACTGGGAGTGCGTGTCCGAAATCTCAGAGGAGGGTGGAGGAAAAGGGACTGTGGCATGGCCATGCCCCCTAGGGAGTGATTTCGCATTTTCCTTTTCTCTCTCTCTCCTCTGGCAGGCACACACACTCTATGGCAAAACAAAGCAAATGCCAATGGCTAATTGCTGTGTATGGATTATCTCGTGTGGGTCTCGCGAGAACCCTGTATGGTAGGTACTACTGTCTCCCCACGTCTATGGATTGGTAAACAGGACCAGAGAAGTTAGCACTCGCCCAGAGTCACACAGCTAATAACCGCGGGGCAAGGCCCAGCCACAGCGGCCCAGCCGCTGAGACCTGTGGGCTAGGACCTCATGGGACACCCAGCTTGACTCCTGGGCCCACGCCTGTGATCTGGCAACTCAGGGAGGCTGGGGCAGGAGGATCGGGAGCTCGAGGCTGTCCTGGCACCTTAGGGAGACGCTGTCTGAAAGAGCCGGGCATGGTGGCAGGCATGCCACCCCTTAACCCGCGTGGGAGGCTGAGACAGGAGCGTTTGGGCAGTGAGATCCTGTCAATGAACCAGTCACCAATGGCACGCCACAAGGTCATGAAACACGCAGGTCATGGAAAAGCTGTGCATGGATTTCAGT